AAAGAGGGTAACACCAGAGTGCCAAATGCAGTCCAACTGTGTTGAAATATGCTGAGAAATATAACATCATCTATTAAACCTGCTCACTTGTGTTGTTGATGTAAAAAACTATCTGGGAGCAGATGGAACACCCAACAGTAGAAATCAAAGTTATTGCTTTTTAAAATGATGTTTGGATACAAGCAGTCTTGTTAGTTTTGCTCTAGCCTAAATCCTAAAAATCTATAATGGTCTGAATTGTGGATTTTTGTCATAGCAGCAAGGTCTAAAGTGCAGATGTTGAGCAAAAAGAGGATCCAACGCAGACCAGATGTAGGCTTAGTTAAGGAATACTCTGTACCAAGCTCTTTTCCTTACTAAATCTCTGGTTTCTCAGTCTTGAGTGGCAGGAGCACAAGCTGCATCCAGGCTGGGCTTTGGATGTTTGTGACCCCATTGTGACCACAGTTGGGTTTCATGAATATGTACTCTTTTGATGAAATACAGGCCCATTTTTGGCTTCACTACAAACCTAGTGGCACCTCAGATGAAGTGTTACTCACTTCAGAATTTGTGTGAAATAGAGACTGAGAGGGAAGCAAGAAAAGAGTACCATAAATCCTCAACCTGGTCACCTGGGGGTTCTTTGCCACAACAGCAATGTGTAGGATAGACCCTTTCTGTCTGTGTGCATACATGTATTGGTGCCATGCTCACACATCCTTTTATAAACTTTGATTTTTCCTTGTGTGTTTTTTAGGGTCAGGAGTTAACTATACGTCAGATTGCTCTTCTTGGCTTCAGAGACTTGGTCTTGCTAAAAGTCAAGTTGGAAGAAATTCTTCCTCTGGTCCAGACAGAGCTCCCAGCTTCTATTGTCCAGATGCTGTTAATTCTGCAGGTACGAAGCCTCAGCTCTTCTTCATCTGACTCCACTTGGACTGGAGTATCTTGACATCACTGAACTAAGATGAACTCTGGAAAGCAGAGTGAGGAGAGTAGAGGGTGTTATTACACGTTGTTAATCTTTCAGGTATGTAGTGATGAAGTAGTAACAAGAAGTCCAAAGGCAATGAAGAGACACTTCAGGGCCTTAGGACAACTGGTTAAGGGATCAGGAGCAGAAGTGATGTTCTCTATCTCTCCAATTGCAGGCATTGATAAAGGATAAAAAGGAAGAGCCAGCAGATCAACAACTGGCAGGACTTTAGGCTCTTTCACCATGGGTTGATTTACATGACACCAGGCATGCTAGCAACATATGGGATACATCTGTCTCAAAGAGGGAAGAGGATCCTGGCGCAAGAGCTAGCGGGCCTTGTTGAGAGGGGGTGGAAGGCGGAAGAGGATGGAGATTCATGGAAAAAAGATCCATGCAAAAAAGATGCATGGATCACTGGTTGGTTAGTTACTGGGAAAATGCCTGAGGACATCCAGCTAGGAACTAGGACTTACCCTCACAAAAAGATGAGAGGACAGTCAGCCCAACTGAAGTGCATGAACATGAATGCACATGGCATAGGCAACAAACAAGAGGAGCTGGAAGACACTGTGCAGCAGGAGAATTATGATATTGTTGCTATCACAGAAATGTAGTGGGATGATTGGTGTGACTGGAGTGCTGTAATCAATGGCTACAAGCTCTTCAGAAGGAAAAAGCTAGGAAAGAGAGGTGGTGGAGTCATCCTATATGTTAACCATGAAGTTACTGATGCTGGCAATAGTATTGAATATTTATGGGTAAGAATCAGGAGAAAGGCCAACAAAGCAGACATCTTGATAGGAGTTTGTTATAGACTGCCCAACCAGGATGAAGAGACAGACAAAAAAGTCTATAGACATCTGAGAGAAGTTTCTGAATCACTGACCCTTGTCCTTGCTGGGGACATCAACTTCCCAGATGTCAGCTGGAAACATAATACAGCAGAGAGGGAACAGTCCCAGAGGTTCCTAGAGTGTATAGACAATAACTTCCTGACACAGATGGTGAGGGAGCATACTAGGAAAGGCAAACTGCTGGTCCTGCTTTTTGTCAGCAGAGAATGTGATATTTGGAGGCCATCTTGGGCACAGTGACCATGAAATTATAAAGTTCTCTATTCTTGGAGAAGTAAGGAGGAGGGTCAGAAAGACTGCCACCTTGGACTTCTGGCAGGCAGACTTTGACCTCTTTCAGAGACTGGTTGACTAAGTATCTTGGGAGACAGTCTTGAAGGGGAAAGGAGTCCAGGAAGGACTGAAGGCTGATGCACTTAATTCCTTGTATGCCTCAGTCTTTAGTAGTAGGACCAGTTGTTTGCTGGGTACATGGTCCCTGAGCTGGAAGACGGGGACAGGAAGCAGTTTGAAACACCCATAATCCAAGAGGAGATAGTTAGTGACCTGCTGCACCACTCAGACATACAGAATTCTGTGGGGCCAGACAGGATACACCCAGGAATATTGAAGGAGCTGGCAGAAGTGCTTGTCAAGCCACTTTCCATCATTTACCAGCAGTCCTGGCTAGCCAGAGAGGTTCCAGTACACTGGAGATTGGTAAATATGTCTCCCATCTACAAGAAGGGCTGGAAAGAGGATCTGGGAAACTACAGGCCAGTTAGTCTGACCTGGATGCTGGGGAAGGTTATGGAGCAAATAATTTGAGTGCCAGCATGCAGCATGTGCCAGACAACCAGGCGATCAGGCCCAGTCAGCATGGGTTCAGGAAAGGCAGGTCCTGCTTGACTAGCCTGATTTCCTTCTATGACACGGGGACCCATTTAGTGGATGAAAAGCTGTGGATTTCATTTACCTGGACCTTAGTAAAGCCTTTGACACTGTTTCTCACAGCATTCTCCTGGAGAAACTGGCTTCTCATGGCTTGGATGTGTGTCCTCTTTGCTGGGTAAAAAACTGGCTGGATGGCCAGGCCCAAAGAGTCATGGCAAATGGAGTTAAATCCAGCTGGTGACCGGTCACAAGTGGTGTTGCCCTGGGCTCAGTGCTGGGGGCAGTTCTCTTCAATATCTTCACTGATGATCTTGGTGAGGGGATTGTGTGCATCCTTAGCAATTTACAGATGATACTAAGTCTGGAGGGAGTGTCAATCTGCCTGAGGTCAGGCAAGCTCTAGAGTGAGACTTGGATAGGCTGGATCAATGGGCTGAGGCCAGTTGTATGAGGTTCAACAAGGCCAAGTGCTGGGTCCTGCACTTGGGTCACAACAACTCCATGCAATGCTACAGGCTTTAGGGAAGAATGGCTGGAAAGCTGTCCAGAGGAAAAGGACCTGGGGGTGTTGATTGACAGTTGGCTGAGTATGAGCCAGCAGTGTGCCAAAGTGGCCAAGAAGGCCAAGAGCAACCCAGCTTGAATCAGAAATAGTGTGGCCAGCAGGACTAGCGGAGTGATTGTGCCTCTGTACTTGGCACTGGTGAGGCTGTACCTTGAGTACTGTCTTCAGTTTTGGGCCCCTCACTACAAGAAGAGCATTGGGGTGCTGGAGTGTGTCCAGAGAAGTGCAATGAAGTTGGTGAAGAGCCTGAAGATCAAGTCTTATGAGGAGCAGCTGAGGGAACTGAGATTGTTTTAGTCTGGAGAAAAGGAGGCTGAGGGGAGACATTATTGGTCTCTACAAGTAACTGAAAGGAGATTGTAGTGAGATGGGAGTTGGTCTCTTCTCCGAAGTAACAAGCAATAGGACAAGAGGAAATGGGCTGAAGTTGCACCAGGGGAGGCTTAGATTAGATATTAGAAGAAACTTCTTCACTCAAAGATAAAAAAACACTGGAATAGGCTGCCCAGTGAGGTGATTGAGTCTCCATCCCTGGAGGTGTTTGCAGAGATGTGTAGACGTGGTACTTGGGAACATGGTTTAAGTATTGGACTTGGTAGATTTAGATTATGGTTGGACTTGATGATCTTAAAGGTCTTTTCCAATCAAAATGATTGTATGATTCCATGTGCTTATTTGGGAGCAGTGAATGTAGAAATGAGAGCTGAATTTGAATGTTGTGAGTTTTCCTGGGAACGGATAAGGATGTTGCTATCAAAGGGATGTTTTTTGCTCTTTGGTGTTTGTATTTTTCTTTGTACCTCTCCTCCCCAGCAATGAACAGTCTTAGGACTCCTTTTTTTTCACATAAATTTTCATCACCCAGCTTCTCTGAATGCCTTTTTGTGCCTTAGTTCTGGTTTCTCAGCTTTGCAAAAACAGGGTGAGTCTGCATCACAGCAGTTTGTGAAATTTGAAAGAGCTGTGGCTACTGGCTGCCTGATGCCAGTCCCTTGGCTGTCTGGGATGCTGAGCAGTGCACAGGCGAGGAGGAACATTTTTGGCAGCAAGCAAATGCTATACATCTTCCAAAGAATCCCAGACCTTTTGTGAGGACTACCCTATTAATCTAGACCTCAGGAGAGTATTTTCCAAACATGCCAAACACAGCCAAGTATACCATCTGTTTTATCTTTTCTTGTCACCTCGGCTGGTGATACATGCAAAATACTATATTACAAGTAGCTGTTTGCGTTATTTTCTCTTTTATTTCTTCTCCAATATACCTTAAAATGAATAGTGGTGGGGAATGAAATTTTCTGAACTATAATCAAAATTGTCAAGTAGCTTAGCTGGTATTTCTGTATGAGTTCTTGCTGTTCTGATGTTCCCAGTGACCCAGACTGTGATAGCAGAGATGCTAGCTCAATTTCCCTGAAATATTTTAATAAAATAATCTTCAGGGCAAAGAGGGTTTCAAAGCAAGGTGTTTGAGAAAGGAAAGCTTATGGAGGCTTTGCAGGAAGTTAAGTCTGTGAATGGTATCTGAAATTACTGTTACATTGGTTAGTGTTATTTACTGTCTTCACATCTGTAAGCTGAACTACAGAGGGTGTTTTTCCTGCATTCCTG